ACATTTTTCTATACTGGAAATCTGTTATGTTTCAGTCACACTCCCCAGGTATCTCATCAGCCTTTGGACTCAGGATAAGAGCATCTCCTTACTGAGCTGTGCCACCCAATTGTGCTTCTTCCTTATACTGGGCACCACAGAAAGTTTCCTCCTGGCTGTGATGTCTTATGACCGCTATGTAGCCATCTGCAACCCTCTGCACTATCCTGTAGTCATGAACCCAAAGAAATGCCATCAACTGGCCATTGGCTCCTGGCTCGGGGGAATGCCAGTAGAGATAGGACAAACATGGCAGATATTCTCTCTGCATTTCTGTCATTCTAACCAAATCAACCACTTCTTCTGTGACATACCCCCCATTTTCAAGCTAGCCTGTGGGGACACCTCAGTGCACGAAGTGTCTGTCTATGTAGTAGTGATATTGGTTGGGGCAGTACCTTGTATTTTGATACTTGTCTCTTATAGCAAGATCATTGCCACCATTCTGAGGTTGCCAACAGCCCAAGGACGCACTAAGGCATTCTCCACTTGCTCCTCCCACCTGCTGGTTGTGGTTTTATTTTTTGGATCAGCTTCCATTACCTACTTCAGGCCCAAATCCAGCCATTCTGCAGGAACTGACAAACTTATCTCTCTTTTCTACACCATAGTGACTCCTATGTTCAATCCTGTGATATACACTCTCAGGAACCAGGACGTGATTGCTGCACTCAGAAGATTATTTCTTAAAGCATAGTGGTCTGAGTTTACTAGAGGTTGTTTCACCATTTTGTCACATATCAGACAAACATTCCAACTCTCTGTATTCTACTTTTGAGAGGGTAATACCTTCAAACTTATGCTGTATTTTTGTCATTTAAATTTTAGTCTGGGATTAACTTTGTTCACATATGTATAGGGAAATTTATCTATCTTTGTGATCCCATATAAAGAAATTAATTATCATGCATAAAACTTTAAAGTGATAACATTGGCCCTATAAACATATGAGCAAAATTCAAAATATTAGGTTTTATACATTACATTTAAAGGAATATTGAAATTTACCTAATCTGAACAATATAGGCTGGCATTCTTTTTTTATTATACTGTAGGTAAGACATAGTTACCAAGGGTAGTTGTACAATGAATCCTTGTTCAGGAAATAATACAATGAATAAAACGATAAGTGAATGTCACTTTGCTCTCTACCAAAGAATTCTGACACACACAAATATATATATATATAATATTTTGCACCATATGCACACAAGTGGAATACTTCCTGAATAGTAACAAAAGTAAAGTTACATGGGCCAGGTGCACTGGTGCATACCTGGATTCCCAGAAATTCAGGTGGCTGAGGCAAGATGATCTCAAGCTTGAGTCTCCATTTGTGGCTTATCAAGATCTTCAGCATGTTAGTAAAACCTTGTCACAAAATTAAAAAATGAAAAAAAAAAGGACTGAGATCTTCGCTCAGCTGTAAAGGATCACTGTGTAAAATACCAAAAATTATATGAAAAAGGAAAAAGAAAAGCTTACATGCATGCAGGTCTCATTCTCATCCTAGTAACTTGCCATGATAGCACATAATGTAATACAACACTACTATCTTTAAAAACTGACTTTCTTTTGTGCATATATTTTCCTCCTTTGATGTCATGGTTCCAAGATATCTTGCATAATTATTTTTTGTCTTCCAACTCTTTTTTTTTTTTTTGGTGATACTGATAATTGAACCCAGGTTTTTATGTACCCTAGGATTGTCCTCTACCCTAAGCCACATCTCCAGCCTCCAGCCCTCATTTCTTTCTTTACTTCACTCCAACAGCCACTCTTTAACCTATTTCTATTTTATGAAATATCTACAAGTACAAATGGTCAAGGATGTCTTGGAAACTACTTTCAGGAATATGTAAAGTCCACACAGCTGAACTACATTACCTCACATCTGCTTTCATGCTTTTAAACTAATCTAAAGTTTTAGAATTATGAAATTTGTGAGCTGACATTGAGGAAAGGAGCATTAATCAGCAGAATGAGAAAAGTCCACCCATCCACTAACATAATCTCAAATAAGTTGTCTTTCTGTTTATTTGTTTTGCACATCTGAACATCATTCCATCCTGTAGCTTTAGCTGTGATAGAGTACACAATGCATGAACATGTTAGCTCCTGTCCCGGATATACAACATTTCTACTTTATCAACCTATAAGCATCCTCCACATTGGTGTATGTTATTCTTGAAAATATATATGCATGTGTCTCTTACCATTTAATATTTTATATTGAATTTGGAATTTTGCATAAAGTTCATGAGGAAGACCATGCTGATATGACTGTGGTAATAAAGGTGTAGTTTATAGAGAAGATGATTGTGGTAGTTGTTTATTTTCTGAAATTTGATAAAGCAGGAATCACAATGAAACTGGCACCAAGTTTTCCCAGAAGTTCAGAAAACTGAGATGTATGCTTAACATTCTCAGCAAAGTGTTGAGTAGTTAAATGTCATCTAACTATATTTTATAACAACTGGAATTAGTTAAATACAGATATAATGCTTTTTCTTGTTAACAGACAGGATTATTAGAAGGTATTAACTATTCACTTAAGAAACATTGAAATGTTGGCTGTATTCAGATGCAATTATTAGAGGAATCACTAGCTATGTATTTTATTTTAAAATATAAATAAAAAATGAGATTCAATGTTATTTTTGAAGAAATGGATATTCCATAATACTAGTTACCTGCAAAAGTAAGCATATTTGTTTACAAGTTGAAATTACCCTCAGTAATACAGTTAGTTTGGTTTTTTATATATTGACTATTCTCTTAGTAAGATAATCTTTAAAGTTGATTGTCAATAAACTGTAAAAAACATCAATCAACATGAACACAGTAGAGTTTGCATTTTAAATAACTTAACAAATAATACCTTGGGATTTAATATCATGTGGCCTATCAGTGATTAATTTATATAAGTTCTGGAAACCTTCAAATAAAGAATGTAATAATTAGTCCTCCTATTCACTGAGATATTATGGTAGATAGGACAAGGGCCCTCAGAGATGTCCACATTCTAATCCCTGGAACATCTGCATATATTGCGTCACATGGCAAAGGGACCTTGCACAGGTGATTAAGGTTTTACATCCTGAGAAAGGTACATTATTCAGGTTGGGCAAATCTAATTACATGAGCTCTTAAAAAAGAAAGAGAAGGAAAGATGGGAAATGTTCAAAGAACACATCTCCTGGCGGGGTGCAGCAGGACATTCCTGTAATCCCAGTTGCTCCAGAGGCTGAAACAGGAAAATCACAAGTTCAAAGCTGACTCAGCAACAGGGAGGCGCTAAGCAGCAGCTCAGTGGGACTTTGTTTCTCAGTGCAATACAAAATAGGGCTGGGGATGTGGCACAGTGGTCAAGTGCCCCCAAGTTCAATATGGGACCAAAAACAACCCACTCTTAAGGTGGGAGATCTTATCCAGTCATTGGATGGAGCCCCACTGAGAAAGAGAGGACTCTGTCAGCCTGATGGTTTTCAAACTAGAGCATCAGCTTTTCTTTAGTGTTTGGGTTAGAACCCAGACACAAGCTTCTCAGGGGTTTCAAGTCTGCTAAACTTTCAACAGAACTTCAGTATCTGTTCTTTAGGTTCTGAGGTCTTCGGATTTATATCAGAATAAAACCATTTGTTCTTCTTATTCTCAAATTAACTAACACACCATGCAAATGTTAGGATTTACCAGATTTATAATAACATAGACAATATCCTATAAAAATGCAAGCAATTATTATTAATACACATGAATACTGAAATTTATATATACATATATAAATACACTAAATTTCAGTATATGTATATAAATACTCTGATTCTATGTGTTCTGACAATCAGTGTGTTGATAAGACCTTTCCATGATTTGCTCATGCTAGATACTTTGATTCCCAATTACATTTTACTATTTTGCTTGTATTCCAATTCCTTCGTAAATTCCTTCACTTAAATTCCACACTTAAATCTTCTTATCATTATTTATCTATTTCATATTATTTTCTTAAAATACTATTATAGTTATTTTAAAGTCCTTGATTGTCATCCCCAATGAATGAATGTGTTGATTTTTACTATCTTGTTTATTCATCAGAATGACTCACCCATTTCCATATGATGAATTTGTTTATTTTATGTAACATAGCTTTTTATATATAACTCTCTGATCTGGGTTTGTTTCTCAGTGTGAGCCAATTTGTCTTTCATGCATAAGTACAAATTGAGATCTTAGTTGTAAAGGATCACTGTGTAAAATCACCAATACCATTTATTATATGAAAAAGAAAAAAAGAAAACAGCTTACATGCATGCAGGTCTCATTCTCATCCTAATAACTTGCCATGATAGCACATGATGTAACACAACACTACTATCTTTAAAAACTGACTTTCTTTTGTGCATATATTTTCTTCCTTTGATGTCATGATCCCAAGATATCTTGCATAATTATTTTTTTTGTCTTCCAACTTTTTTTTTTCTTCTTGAGGTGAATCCCCATCACTATGCAGAAGTAAAGAGAAAGTGAATCTCTCTGTAAGTTCCTACACCTAGTGGAAACATCAGTAAATAGTCTTATGCTGTGAAAATAAGGAAGCTTATAAAAATATTGGAGCTGAATAAATGAAAACTCACACTTAAATCTCATTGTTTTAGTGGAACTAAACAGAATGTATTTTGGCATATTATACATACATGGAGTTTATGATGGTTGTACAAGATGTGGAGTTCACAAATGAACACAGGAAATTTATGTCTGATTCATTCTCCTATCTTTCCTATTCTCCTTCCCTCTCTATTCCCTTTATCCCTTTGTCTAATTCTATTAAATTCTATAGCCCCCTCCTTATTATGTGTTAGCATCCACATAACATAAAAGACTCAGCTTTGGTCTGAGGGACTGTATTATTTCACTTAACATGATAGTCTCCATTTCCATCCATATATCTGCAGATGCCATAATATCATTATTCTTTATAAGTAATATTCCATTGTGTGAGTGCATGTGTGTGTATATATGTTGATATATATGTGATATGTGTGTGTGTATCACATTTTCATTATCCATTCATCTGCTGAATGGCACCTAGTTGTGTTCCATTGCTTAGCTATTGTAAATTCAGCTGCTATAAATATTGATGTGTTTAGGTCACTGTGGTATGGAGATTTTGAGTCCTATTGAAAAGTGGGATAACTGGGTCAAATGTTGGTTCAATTCCTAGTTTCCTGAAGAATTTCCATACTGCTTTTCATAGTGATTGCACCAATTTGCTGTCCCACCAACAATGTATGAGTACACGTTTTTCTCTATGTGCTCGCCAAAATTTATTGTTACTTGTATTCATGATAATTGACATTCTGAGTTCCTCTGTATTATTCATGGCTCAAAGTAATTTAGAGGTCAGAGAATATGTTGTGCTTACTCATCTTGAGTAAGAAAATGTACTCTTTGCTGAAACATGTGTCTATGATTAAGAGACATAGTTTACAAAATTAAAAAATATTGCACTGGATTTCAATTTTTATTCCCTCTACTTACTAGTTTATATTGAACCAGGAAAAAATGGCTTGTATGTTGGCTTTCTGGACTATTCTGAGTGTGTATGGAACTGTATTCTTGCAACCAGTCTATAGATCAGTAGGAATTAGGATGTTTTTTTCAATATGCACTTTATGTTTCTCATTCCTCAGTTATCTT